GAAGAAATTGTGCGACAGAAATCACCATTTGAGCCTGGAAAGCGCACTAGGTTATGGTTTCATAAAGACATTCTTAATGTGTTGGACGAAAACAAGGTTAATGTCTGATAAGTGTTCTCTGGTTTTCTCTAAGCTATAATCCTGTACCCGAGGGATCTTTGAGAGCACACATAGCTTTTTTTCTCCCCCTTTTTTCCTCTTCCCATTCATTGACTATTTGACTAACATAGTATTAGTCTTTTTACTTGTAGGTCATGATTTACTGTATCCTTATTGAAATTAATACCAATTCGTTATACATCTAACAGATTTTCTGATTTACTATCTTACTTGGTATGAAAGGGTTCTGGGAAGATTGAAGCCATAAATCTAGATATGCCTGGAGATATGGTGATTGATTGGAGTGGAAATGCCTTCAAAAGGATGCCTAATCTTAAGATACTTATTATCAGAAATGCATAATTTTCTACAGGACCCACGCATCTCCCCAACAGTTTAAGAGTGTTGGATTGGAAGGGATGTCCTTGTCCATCTTTACCGTCTGATTTTAACCCCAAGAAGCTAATTATCCTCAAAATGCCGGAAAGTTTCCTCCAACCGGATGTGCTACTCAACGCATGCAGAGTATTGACCCTTTTGATCATTATTTTGCTTTATTATGAAGCAAGAGCACATCAAAATTTGTTCATGCAATGACTGTTGCATTATAAGTATTTTGTGGTTTTTAATGTTTTATGATGTTCTTACAGTTTATCAAGACTCAGTTGTTTTTGATCTTGTCTCGCAGAAGTTTGAGTCTTTGAGTGTGATGAATTTCAGAGGTTGCAAATTTTTAAGACGAGTTTCTGACTTATCTACAGTCCCAGATTTGAGGGAATTGTGTTTGGAACGCTGCAACAACTTAATTGAGGTTCATGTGTCTATTGGATTTCTTGGTAAACTGAAAAGGTTGAGTGTTAAAAACTGTTGGAAGCTCAAGACCTTTCCAAGCATGAAGTTAACATCCCTTGAATTTCTTGACCTTTCTGGGTGCTCCAGCCTCACAAGATTCCCAGAAATATTAGGAACAATGGAAAATATCAAAGATGTCTATTTGGATGATAGTGGCATAGAAGAATTGCCTTTGTCGTTCAAAAACCTTGTTAAATTAGAAAAACTAGAACTTTCATTTTGTAGAAGTATTGAAAAAATTGGAGGTATTCCACCGAACCTAAGAGAATTGTCAGCGATGAACCTTGATTGGTACCCACACTTGAGCTTAGAGTCTCGTAGAACTTTACTGCGTCAGGTTAGTCTCTCTCTTTCACTCTTTTAATTGCGTCTATATGATGAATCCTGAACTACTTTCAAAAGAAGTTGGTGCCAGCACGCACGTAATGAAATGATGTTATTTGATAAAAAATGACAGGACACTTGAACGAACCAAAAAAAAAAAAAATCAAAGATAGATTGTCCTTTCCTGATGTAGTGCTTCTATCGTAGGAACTACTTAAAAAGAAAACTCATTACTCTATAGATAGTTTTCTCAAATTCTTCCTCCATATAAACATTAATATTAGAAGTAACTTTGTTCTTGATCTTTTTTGCAACAGGCTTTACATGAGGTTGATGGCTTGAAATTCATAGTGGAAGAAGATAAGACCCCAGAATGGTTTGACCGCTATGTTGAGGGACATTCATTGTCTTTCTGGTTCCAAAAGGAATTCCCAAACATGGCTGTATGTTTTGGTGCATTAATAGAGGACCTATGGCACGCATCTCCAAAAATGCTAATCGACGTCCGAGTTAATGGCACAGATGTTGGATTTCAAGAAGGGCAAACAATTTTGTCATCACTTACAACACCACATATCTTTTTGTTTGATTTGCAGCGGTTTGTTCTCGAGGATAAACTGTGTAGTGTAGTTTTAGAGAGTGGATGGAACCATGTGGAGATATCCTGTGTCTTGAGTTACATAAATTGCTCCGATCCAATGGTTTTGGGTAAAGTATATTGTATATCAAAGGCAAAATGGAGTGGAGCATATGCGTACAAGCAAAAGTCCAGAATGGAAGATATCCGATTCATAAATCATTGCCAAGAAGCAGTATCGGAGTTGTCTAAAGGATCTTCCATGAATCCAGACAGTTTTACTGAGTGAATCCTGCCTAGAATGAAGTGGTCTGACATGGATTTCAAAGTCAGTGGAGACAGTAACAACAATGCACATATGTCCCTTTTATCCAAACCCATTGCTGAATCTCATTCAGTCACTAGAATAGAGAATAATATTAGGAAGAGGAACGGGAGAGATCTATCAATATGGGTCCCACCTCCTCTCACTCGTTCTCTTCTCTGTCCCTCTTGGGTGAGAAATGATGAATCAGAAGGAAAATGCTACGCTGTTACTTAGAATTAAATGATAAGAAACATTGTATGGATGTTTGTTTGTCTTACTTTGGTCATCTAAATTTGCTCAATAACTTTGTTAGGTGTAATTTGTATAGAGAAAGACACCTTGAAGATATTGGATCCATAAATTGTTGACAGGAAGCTGTTTTAGAATTATTAGATCGATCTTCCATGAATCCAAACAGTTATGGTGAGATAAGACCACCAACTCAACAGACACTACTCACATACAGCAGAAGAATCAAATTGCTAGCTAGCCTTAGAATTGTTCTTTCAGCAACTCAACTTCTAAGTTTAGGTAGTTATGAGAGTGTGAAGACTCTACTTACAATTGAGACGTCCAATACATCAATAACGAGATTCTTAAAATGAATTATCCAAATTCATAAATAATAGCTTATGAAAACTTGTCATCTGTACAAGAGAAAGGAAGGGGAGGATAAAATAAAAAATAAAAAAAACTTATTAAAGCTTTAAGAGTTGACAATTTAAGGGATGTTCTTGGAGCTTGACTTTGTCATGTTTGGCTCCAAATTCAAATAAGCATTTTTCATTTTAATATTTTTTAAAACATTAGAATTATCATTTTAAATGATTAAAACTATAAGAATTGAGTTATATCTCAATTAAATATCAATTGAGTTAAAAATATGAGAATAAAATTATATTTAGAGACTAGTAAAATCAAGTTACAACAATAAAAATCAAATATTATTTCTGGTCTTAAGCATAAGAGCAAGTTGACTAATTTGAGTAGATTAAGGGTATGTTTGGATTGGCATTGGACAAAACTGACTTTAGTCCAACTGACTTTTGTAACTGAAGTTAGAGTAAAAGTCAGTTAATATAATACAATTTATGTTTGAATAGGTGCTTTTAAAAAGTCAATTGAAAAAGTTAAAAGTTGTTTAAATGATCAATGGAAAAGTTAGTTTAGCTGTAAAATGACTAAAAATGACATGGACTTTATTGAATAGTAGTGTTTGAAATTTTATATTTTTAATGTAATAATAGTTTAAAAAAATAAGTAAAATTTTTATGATAAAATGTAAATAGTTTATTTGTGAAATTATAAAATAAAAATATTTGTTACGGAGAAAAATTTGAAAACACATTATAGATAATTAATTAAATATACATAATGAACAAACATGAGTATAAATTAAAATTCATTTGGTCTCTAATTAAAGTAAATGAAATCACATAACTAATTAGATCATGAGCTTTGCACAATTTTTTCATAAGTCAGTTAGAAAAGTTGATCAATTTTTTCATAAGTCAGTTAGAAAAATTACTTTTTCCCATAAGTCAAGTTACAAAAGAAACCCATCCAAACAATCAATTTTACCCAAATAAGCCACAAATCTCAGTTTCACACTTTCTCATGCGCTTTTACCTTCTCCAATGAGAATCCAAACGAGGCCTAAAGAAATAAGTTAAGTTAGTTATTTATAATGATTAGGTGTTATCTTTCTCAAAGTATTTTTATTGCTAATCAAATTAATTAGTTAGAACTATCATTATTGAAAAGATTATCTAAAAAAAAATAAATATGATAGACAATGTGGATTGGAGTTTTATATTTGAGGTTAAGATAAAAACCAAACAAGATCTTAAAGAACAGAGTTAGTAATAATTTTTCCAATTTTTTCCTTGAAATAATTTTTAAGTGAAATATGTTAATTTCCCGACGTAATTTTATGAGAAAGGTCACAACAGAAGTCCATAGCCGGATTGCCCATTTGCACCTGTGGAGAAAATTTCTGTCAAGGCCAATCACGTAAAGGTAAACGTTGAACGTTAAGGCAAATTTCTTCAACCAAAGCCGTAAGCCGTAAGCCGTAAGGAAATGGGAGTGGACGAGGATTTCCGGCCATACGTGCTGCTTGCTTGATATGGAGATGGAGTGCACTGTGCTCGAATATCTCCGTGCGGGACCGCAACTGTAATGGAAGAAAGAGATAACGCACAAAAGTCAGACTATCCTTAAATGCCCGAGCTAGTGGAAAACAAGACTCATTGTCGTCACTGAATTGACTGCATGTTCATCCAATGCCAAAAGTTTCCACAATGCTATTTCAATACTACCCCAATCTTGTACTGGTTTCATGTTTGGCAGCCGAGAATTTGGGGCAAAATTTCTTATTTACGTCTTCAGACTTCAGATTGGGTATATAATATTGACTAATTTATTTCGTTACCCGTTTTTTCCTCGTGAATGCATTTCTATTTCAACTCTTTTTGTTGACTTGAGCATTGGGAAAAAATCAAAAAAGATTTTTGTTGACTTTATCACTGTAAAACAAAACCATTTTGTCGACTTGTTCTTCTCCTTCTAATAGATAACTTCTCAGGTTTTCTGTCCTTTTGAAGCTAGGATTTTTTTCGACTTGATTTTCTATTGCTAATCAAATTTTTTTGTCGGCTTCCAGAGATGGATTTTTTTTTAATCTCAATATACTAGCTCAACACGCATGAGTCTGTGAAATTCATGACTCATGAATTGTTAGAAATTTTATATTATATAAAATTATAGATACTATAACTCTAAAGCACTGATATTTTTGTTCATTCCCCGGCAGGTGCAGCACCATTTCTACTTGCTACCATGACTGGGGAATCACCATTTTCCCCTTCCTTCCCGCATGGATGGACATATGATATTTTTCTCAATTTTAGAGGTGAAGATTCTCGCTTTGATTTTGCTAGAAACCTCTACGAGGCTTTACAACAAAAAGGCATTCATACTTTTTTAGACAATGAAAGGCTTAGAAAAGGAGAAAAAATTGCACCGTCACTTCTCAAAGCAATCCAAGAGTCTAGAATGGCTATCACTATTTTCTCTAGAAACTATGCTTCCTCTACATTTTGTTTAGATGAGCTTGTTCAAATCATTGAGTATATAAATAAAAAAGGTAGATTGGTTTTGCCCATTTTTTATGACGTGGATCCATCAGAAGTACGGCATCAAAGAAAAAATTATCGAGAAGTATTTGCTCAGCATGAGAGGTGGCTTAGAAATGACAAGGAGAAGGTGCAAAAATGGAGGCGGGCTCTACAGGATGTTGCTAATCTCTCGGGTTTCCATTTCAAACCTGGGTAAGTTAGTACGTTGCCTCTCTTTTTTGCTTTACATCTTCTATTTGTTTATTTGATACTGATTATTACTGCCAAATTAACATCTTAGAGAGGCTACAACACAAATTGTGACTTCCAGAGTTTGAAGTGCTATATCTTTCCCATTAGCTCTTATGTGTCTTAAAAGAAAAATGAAAACAGAACATGCATTTAATTTGGTTAATATATTTGCGTTTATTTTATTTGATAGCCAGTCTTTTGTATAAATAAGTTTATACGTACTTGCATATATAGATTATAAATGAGGCCTAAAATCATGACCATTTGCGAATCTAAAGTGTTGAATCTTATATCCAGATGTTTTGTGTCTGAAGTTCTGTTTTGATGCATTTAATATCAATCTATGTTATGACATGATCACAAGACTGATTTAAAGCAGTTAGTTTGTATTTTCCAAAAAAAATTGTTATTGGTGCAGGGATCAATATGAATATGCTTTTATCAAAGAGATTGTTAAAGAGGTCACCAGGAAAATGAACCGAAAGCCTTTGCATATTGCTGATTATCCAGTTGGACTTGAGTATCGAGTGCAAAAAGTAAATTCTCTTCTTGATGTTGAATCTAGTGAAGGGGTCCAAATGGTAGGAATATGTGGCACTGGTGGAATAGGAAAATCAACAATTGCTCGAGCAGTATGCAGTTTGATTGTGGACTCATTTGAAGGGTTTTGTTTTCTTGCTGATGTCAGAGAAAATTCAATTAATCATGGCCTAGTGTATCTCCAGGAAATACTTCTTTCTGAAATGCTGGAGGAAGACGTTAAATTAAGAGATGTTAATAAAGGAATTCCAATAATAAAGCATAGGCTCCACAAAAAGAAGGTTCTCCTTGTTCTTGATGATGTTGATAAGCTAAAGCAATTACAAGCAATTGCTGGGGGACTTGATTGGTTCGGTTCGGGTAGTAGAATCATAGTAACAACAAGGGATAAGCATTTGCTAGTAAGCCATGGTGTTGAAAGAATTTATGAGGTAGACTTTTTAAATAGAGAAGAAGGTCTTGAATTGCTTAAATGGCATGCCTTTAAGCAGATTAGAGTTGATGCAAGTTACATGGACATTTTAAACAATGTGGTATTCTATGCTTGTGGTCTTCCATTGGCTTTGGAAGTTATTGGTTCCAATTTGTTTAGTAGGGAAATAAATTATTGGAATTCCGCATTAGAAAGTTTTCATAGTATTCCAATTAGGGAGATCCAACGAATTCTGAAGGTAAGCTATGATGCCTTGGAGGAATACGAGCAGGAAATTTTTCTTGACATTGCTTGTTGCTTTAAAGGTGACAGTTTTGAATATGTAAGAAGTGCTTTGTACGCACGTGGTATATGCCCAGATTATGGTGTTAAGGTCTTGATTGATAAGTGTCTGATAAAGATTAATCATGGTAAGGTGACTATGCATGATTTGATTCAAGCCATGGGTAAAGAAATTGTGCGACAAAAATCACCATATGAGCCTGGAAAGCGCACTAGGTTATGGTTTCATAAAGACATTCTTAATGTATTGGAAGAAAACAAGGTGGGAGTCACGGGTACATGTATATTTTTCATTTTATTTTTTTTATGATCTAATAGTGTTCTCTAGTTTTCCCTCATGTAAAATCCTCATCACTGGGGGATCTTGAGCGCATATTTTTCTCTTCCCATTCCTCAACTGACCTCGTAATATTATTATTATTTTTTTACTTGTACGCTGTGATCTAATACATTTTTATTGAATTTTATACCAATTCGTAATACATCTGATAGATTTTCTGGTTTACTCTGTTTCTTGGTATGCAAGGGTTCTGGGAAGATTGAAGCCATAAATCTAGACATGCCTGGAGATATGGTGATTGATTGGAGTGGAAAGGCCTTCAAAAAGATGCGAAATCTTAAGATACTTATCATCAGAAATGCACAGTTTTCTACTGGTCCCAACTATCTCCCCAACAGTTTAAGAGTGTTGGATTGGAAAGGATATCCTTGTCCATCTTTACCGTCTGACTTTAATCCCAGGGAGCTAATTATCCTCAAAATGCCAGAAAGTTTTCTCAAACGTGATGTACTACTTAAGGCAGGCAGATTATTGGCACTTCTCATCATCATTTTGTTTTATTATGAAGCAAGAACACTTCAAAATTTGTTCTGTGCTACAAGTGGTGTCAGTATTAGAATTTGTGTCTTTTTTCTTTTTTAATGTTTTGTGATGTTCTTACAATTTATTTTTGACTTAGTTTTTTTTTTAATCCTGTCTTGCAGAAGTTTCAATCTTTGAGCGTCCTGAATTTCAAAGGTTGCAAATTTTTAAGACGGGTTTCTGACTTATCTGCAGTCCCAGATTTGAGGGAATTGTGTTTGGAAGGCTGCAACAAGTTAACTGAAGTTCACGTGTCCATTGGATTTCTTAGTAAACTTAAAAGGTTGAGTGTTAAACACTGTAAGAAGCTCAAGGCCTTTCCAAGTATCAAGTTAACATCCTTGGAGTTTCTTGACCTTTCTGGGTGCTCCAGCCTCACAAGATTCCCAGAAATATTAGGAATGATGGAAAATATTAAAGATGTCTGTTTGGACCATAGTGGCATAGAAGAATTGCCTTTGTCATTCAAAAACCTAGTTAATTTAGAAAAATTAAAACTTTCATTTTGTAGAAGTATTGAAAAAATTGGAGGTATTCCACCGAAGCTAAAAGAATTGTCGGCAATAAACCTTGATTGGTACTCACACTTGAGCTTAGAGTCTCGTAGCATTTTACTGAGCCAGGTTAGTCTCTCTCTTCCCCTCTTTTAATTGCATCAATATGATGAATCATGAACTCCTTAAACAGAAGTTGGTGACACCACGCACATAATGAGATGATATCATTTAATAAAAAACGAGATGACACTTGAACCAAAAAAAATGTAATCATATTTCAAATCTTGATTGCCCTTTCTTGATCTCGTTTTTCTATTGTAGGAACTCTTTAAGGTATGAGTTGCTTATTTGCGTGTAGAGAAATAAGAGAAGACTCGTTACTCTGCACTCTATAGATAGTTCTCTGAAATTCTTCTTCCTCAAACATTAATCTTAAGAATAACTTTGTTCTTGATCCGTTTTGCAACAGGCTTTACATGAGGTTGATGGCTTGAAATTCATAGTAGAAGAAGATAAGACCCCAGAATGGTTTGACCACTACGTTGAGGGAGATTCATGGTCTTTTTGGTTCCAAAAGGAATTCCCAAACATGGCTGTATGTTTTGGTGCATTAATAGAAGACCAATGGCACACACCACCAAAGCTGCTTATTGACGTCCGAGTTAATGGCACAGATGTTGGATTTCCAGAAGGACAAACAATTTTTGCACCACTCACAACACCACATGTCTTTTTGTTTGATTTGCGCGGGCTTATTGTTGAGGATAAACTGAAATATGTAGTTTCAGAGCGTGAATGGAACCACGTGGAGATATCCTGTGTCTTGAGTTACATAAAATGCTACCAACCGGGGGTATTGAATGGAATATATGGTATAGCAGGGGCAAAATGGTGTGGAGTATATGTGTACAAGCAAAAATCCAGAATGGAACATATTCGATTCATAAATCATAGCCACAAAGCAGACCCTGAGTTATTCAAAGGATCTTCCCTGAATCCAGACAGTTTTGCTAAGCTAGTCCTGCGTCAAATGGAGTGGCCCCACGTCAACTTCAAAGTCATCCAATACAATTGCCACAATGCAGTCATGTCCCTTCTATCCAAACCCATTACTGAATTGAGAAAAAGACAGAGGGACAGGAGAGATCAGAGATCTATCAACATGGGTCCCACCTCCTCTCACACGTTCTCTTCCCTCTCCCCGTTGGATGAGAAAGGATGAATGAGAAGGAAAATGCCGAGCTGTTACTAAGAATTAAATGCTAAGAACCATTGTATGAATGTTTGTCTTGTCACTTGGTTCATCTAAATTTGTTCTTGGATTACTCTGGATAGAGAAGGACACAATGTAAGCTATTGGATTCATAAATTGTAACCAGGAAGCTGTTTCTGAATTATTAGATCGATCTTCCATGAATACAAACACATCACTAATAATAGAGGTTGCACACTTGGAAAAAAGATAAACTTGCCTTCTTGTGACATAACACAGTTTCTTTTCCTAATTAGACCCTCCATACATCAAAAGTTGTCCAAATTATAATTAATCATTACTAATAATAGTGATCTATTAGTCGTGCTCTCATGGGGGAAAGGGTTCGGCAAACCCTGTATATATTAATTGAGCTTCTTATATGAAGCTCTTGCTATACGAAAAAGAAACATAGCAGCGCGAACTATCAATAATTTTTCTTCAGCAACTCAGCTTCCAAGTCTAACTAGTACTAGAAGTGTGAAGATTACAAGAGAAAAGTTCAATACTATCAATAACGAAATCCTTAAAATGAATTATCCAAATTCGTAAATCATATAGCTAATGGAAACTTGTTATCTGTACAAGAGAACAGGAAAGGGAAAAAGGATAGACAAAAAAATATTACTTATTAACCCTTTAAGAGTAGAGATTTTTAAAAATCCTTCTTGGAGTTTGACTTTGTCCCCTGGTTGGCAGAGTATTTTCCTCTCATGTTCATCTTATTTTTCTCCAAAACAAGGGATTAAAATATTTGGCTGACCTAACTTTCATAATTTAACAAGTGTTCCCTGGGGGTCATGTGAAATCAATAGTTGATTGTTAATTTTTTAAGACCATCATATGGGTAGTGCATCATAATTGGTTGCTAAGGGACTAGCTTAAAATTTGGAACAAAAAACCAAACAACAATTAAAAAAAAAAAAAACACACCATGTCTTAAGCGCGGCAAGGCTTAGATAAATACACAACCAAACAAGACCTTGAAATCAATATATTAGTATTACAAGATTTAATAATTGAAACTGTCACCCAAAAAAAAAAAAAGATTTAATCATTGAAATTTCTTCTACTTACTATTCATTAATTCTCTGAGTAAAAGATGGCAAAAAGGATTCTCTATATATATGAGTAAAAAAATGGGAAGTGAATATTTTAATATGTCAATATATTATATAAAATATTAAAGAGACACATTTTTCCTGTCACAACGAGCAATATTATTCATAAATTATGAACAACATAATTAAAAATACAAAAAATCATATCTAGTTGCATGTATACAGTGATAAAATTCAAAACTAAATAAAGTAATACTAGATATGAGCAATAATTTTTAGACTAAATGAATATTATATGTTTGAAATAACAAATCAAGTTAAACAGATCCTTGAAGTATTGACTGTTGACTAAAGACAGTTATATATCTTTGCATGAGCTGGTGTCCTACCAACTTTTCTGTCTATTATATTATACATACAATTTTGTTTTACTAAGAACAATAAAGGGATTAAAATATTAGTTATGCTTAGGTAGTTGCTTAATATTCAACCATGGTTTTCTTTAAAAGCCATTGCTAAAGAACAGACTATAAGCAAAATACTTCGTCAGTGAAGATTCTGCTTCATAACCTGCATCATAACATCCACTTCAATTAGCTATCATGGAAGAGCAATCGCTATTTTCCTCCTCTTCTCCCACCTATGGATGGACTTATGATGTGTTTCTTAATTTTAGAGGTGAAGATACTCGCTTTGATTTTACCATAAATCTCTACAAAGCTCTGCATCAAAAGGGCATTCATACTTTTATAGACAACAAGGGGCTTAGAAGAGGAGAAGGAATTACTCCATCTCTTCTTAAAGCAATCCAAGAGTCTACAATAGCTGTCACAATTTTCTCCAAGAATTATGCTTCTTCGACATTTTGTTTAGATGAGCTTGTTCACATCCTTGAGTGTAGACAGAAAAAAGGTCAGCTGGTTTTGCCAATTTTCTATGATGTTGAACCATCGGATGTGCGACATCAAAGAGGAAACTACAAAGAAGCATTTACTCAACATGAGCAGAGGTTCAACAATGATCAGAAGAAGGCGCAAAAATGGAAGCAGGCTCTGCGAGATGCTGCTGATATTGCTGGTTTTTATTTCAAACCTGGGTATTTGAGTGCTTCACCCTTGTTTTGCTTTGCAAATTTAACCTATCCTTTTGATATAGATGATATTTGCTATCATATTAACATGCAACAAAGGCTAAGAAACATTAAACACTGATACAAATTACAACTCAACTAAAAAATTTCAGGTGATTAAAAGGCTCACATTTTGTCAAATATAGTTGTTCATTTCGTTTTCGATAAAAGTCAAACATTAATCAGGCCTTGTTAGAATATGCATTTCATGAGGGGGAAAGGAGCATGTTCTTATTTTGGCGTAGTTTACTTTGAAGTTGGTATCATCTATATTAATATCTAGGAAACTTCAAGAAGTATAGACGCAGCAAAATCCAGTGCCAGTGTTATATTTGAACGGGTGCATTGGGTTCAAGTGTTTAATTTGATGCATTTGGAATGAATTTTAAATTTTAGTAAAATGTTTAGATTGAAATTAATATTTCATAACATTTTGTGATGGGACAGGAAAGAACATGAATGTGATTTAATTGAAAGGATTGTAAAAGAGGTCTGTAGGAGGATTAACTGCAAGCCTTTACACATTGCTGATTATCCAGTTGGACTTGAGTGTCGGGTGCGCAAAGTAATATCTCTTCTAGATGTTGAATCTAATGAAGGGGTCCTAATGGTAGGGATTTGTGGAATGGGTGGAATAGGCAAAACAACAATTGCTAGAGCAGTATCCAATTTAATTACTGATATGTTTGAAGCCTTTTGCTTTGTTGCTAATGTCAGCAAAAATTCACAAAAGCACGGCCTAGCATACCTCCAAAAAATGCTTCTTTCTAAACTGGTTGGGGAAGATTTCAACTTCGTTGACATCAATCAAGGAATTCCAATAATGAAACAGAGGCTTCACAGAAAGAAAATTCTTCTCGTTCTTGATGATGTTCATGAGCCAAGGCAATTGCAAGCCATGGCTGGGGCACTTGATTGGTTTGGTTCTGGAAGTAGAATCATTGCAACAACAAGGGATAAACATTTACTAGCAAGACATGGTGTTGAAAGAATCTACGAAGTAGAGAGTTTAAATGAAAATGAAGCTCTTGAACTACTTAAATGGAGTGCCTTTCGAGAAAATAAAGTTGATCCAAGTTTTATGGACATGTTAAACAATGTAGTACTCTATGCTGGTGGACTTCCATTGGCTTTGGAAGTTATAGGTTCCAACTTGTTCAATAGAGGAATCAATGATTGGAATTCTGCATTAGATAATTATCGAAGAATTCCCAACAGAGAGATCCAACAGGTACTCAAAATGAGTTATGATGCCTTGGACGAATTTGAGAAGGAAATTTTTCTTGATATTGCTTGTTGCTTTAAAGGTGACAGCTTGGAATATGTCACAAGTGCTCTGTATGCTCGTGGCATATGCCCAGATTATGGTGTTAAGGTGTTGATTGATAAATGCCTCATAAAGATTGACAATGGCCTTGTGACAATGCATGATTTGATTCAAGATATGGGTAAAGAAATTATTCGGCAACAATCACCAACTGAACTAGGCAAACGCTCTAGATTGTGGTTTCATGAAGACATTCTCCAAGTTTTAGAGGGAAACAAGGTATGTTAAGATTCATCCACATTTATATTTTTTGACTAATATTCCTTCGATCCTTAATATAAGACCTATTTAACAAATTTGATTAGATTAAGGAAGTTAGGTAAGTTAATTAATTATAAGAAATGTGACACGTTTTTTTTTTTTAGGTGAAGAATGTGATACGTTTTTTCTAAAATACCATAATCATCTTTCTCAATATCCCTCTTCCTCTTCTACTTGATTATGGTTGAGGGAATATCTATAGGGGTAATTTAGAGAAAAATAATAAATATGAGAAATAGGTCTTATATTTAGGATCAAAACTAACTCAACAATTGGGTTCTATATTAAGCACTGGAAGAGTATTTATTATTTTCAGTTAAGATATTCTCAAGATAACCTTGGTGGCTGAAGCTTATTTCTATTCCTAACACATCTAATAAGTTTTGCTGTTGACATATATATGTTTGGTTTGGAAGGGAACTGGGGAGATTGAAGCCATAAATCTGCACATGCCTGGAGAAAAGGAGATCAATTGGAGTGGATTGGCCTTCAAAAAGATGCAAAATCTTAAGATGCTTATTGTTAGAAATGCAAGATTTTCCACAGGTCCCAAGCATCTCCCTAACAGTTTGAGATTGCTAGACTGGAAGGGATATACTTATCCCTCCTTTCCATTTGATTTTTGTCCCAAGGAACTAGTTATCCTCAGGATGCCTGAAAGTTCCCTTAAACTGAATTCACCACCCAAGGCATGTACAATATTCCGGTTATGTATTATTATGTTTTATTTTGAAGCAGAAACGCTTTAAGCTGATATTACACACACATTAAGCACAACATGAAACTTTTAAATTGCAGTAGATCCTTTAAATTTTGTTCGTAGCATGCCTAGTGTCATTGTAAGCTTTGTGCTATTTAATGTTCTATGTTGTGATTACTGATTATCAAGATTAGTTAATCTTTTTAATCTTGCTTTGCAGGGGTTCCCGTCCGTGAGTGTAATGGATTTTAGGGGTTGTAAATTTATAACAGAACTGCCTGACTTATCTGGAGTCCCAAATTTGAAGGAAATGTGTTTGGATTTTTGCGAGAATCTACATGAAGTCCATGTTTCTATTGGATTTCTTCATAAAGTTGAAAGGTTAAGTGTTACTTATTGCTACAACCTCAAGACATTTCCAAGCATCTCATTAACATCCCTTGAATTTTTCGACCTCTCATGGTGCTCCAGTCTCCAGAGATTTCCAGAAATATTAAAAACAATGGAAAATATAAGAGATGTTCGTTTGGATCATAGTGGCATAGAAGAATTGCCATTGTCATTCAAAAACCTGATTGGGTTACAATACTTGGACCTTTCAAATTGCGAACACCTTCAAGAATTTAGAGCAATCCCACCAAACTTACAAGAATTGGACGTAGTCGACAAACACCTGGGTTCAGAGTCTTGTAGTATATTATTGAGTCAGGTACTTCTCTCTATTACTTTTTTTTTTTTTAATGCCTTTATATGATAATCTAATAATGGCTGACTTTGAAAAGAAATTGATGCTAACATCTGTGAAATGAAAAAAAAAGAAAGAAAGAAAGAAAATCATCTTGACAAAATAACGTGACTTGAAAATAAAATGAAACACAATTATGTTAGGGAAAATGACAATAAAATACCACTTGAATTCTAAAAGGACAAATAAGGGACCTGAATAAGCAAAATGACAAATAAGGCACTGGGTACCAATCTGGAATTCATATTTTCGGCCAAAAGACCAAAACGCCCTGATGAATGCGGGAAGACTGAAAGCTGAAAGTGAGAGAAAGGAGAGAGGAAGACCGACGCAGTGAGAGAAAGGAGAGAGGAAGACCGACGCTGATGAAATGCGGGAAGAAGGAAAGAAGAATGTTGGAAATGCTATTATCTTACTCCTTCGCATCACCATTCTGTAGAGATTGTTGATTTTGGTTGTGGGAAAGAGGATTTGTAGTGAGAGAGGGAGTGAACCGAAGCGGAAATCAGCAAGCAATTACGTAACGTAACTGCTGTGATATGCTTGCTGGTTTTTGGTAAATCCCATTACGTGAATGGTAAATTTCACTATACATGTAGTTAATTATGAATTTTACAAAATACATATTGTGATTTATAACTTTTGTAGTGAAAGTGACTACTTTGTTAATGGGTTTTGCAACCTGTTTTCAGGAGATAAACAACTTGTTTGTAAAAACTAATAAAAGTGACAACTTTTGTAGTCACGTTGAATTAACTGGTTGCAAAAGCCATTTAAGAAGTGGTCATTTTCACTATAAAAGTTGTAAATATCACTGTGTATTTTGTAAAATTCAGCGTCAAATTTTATTGATTTTTAGAAACAAGTTGCTCATCCCCTGAAAAGAGGTTGCAAAACTCATTTAAGAAGTGGTTATTTTCACTATAAAAGTTGTAAATATCACTGTGTGTTTTGTAAAATTCAGCATCAAATTTTATTGATTTTTAGAAACAAGTTGCTCATCTCTTGAAAAGAGGTTGCAAAACTCATTTAAGAAGTGGTAATTTTCACTACAAAAGTTGTAAATATCACTGTGTGTTTTGTAAAATTCAGCATGGAATTTTATTGGTTTTTAGAAACAAGTTGCTCATCCCCTGAAAAGAGGTTGCAAAACTCATTTAAGAAGTGGTAATTTTCACTACAAAAGTTGTAAATATCACTCTATGTTTTGTAAAATTCAGCATGGAATTTTATTGGTTTTTAGAAACAAGTTGCCAATTCCTTGAAAAGAGGTTGCAAAACTCATTTAAGAAGTGGTAATTTTCACTACGAAAGTTGTAAATCTCACTATGTGTTTTGTCAAATTTAGTAGGAAATTTTATTAGTTTTTAGAAACAAGCTGCCCATCCCTAAAAACAAGTTACAAAACCCATTGAATAAGTGGTCATTTTTACTACGGAAGTTGTAAATCCCACTATACGTTTTGTCAAATTTAGCGTGAAATTTTATTAGTTTTTACAAACAAGTTGTTTATCTCCTGAAAACAGGTTGCAAAACCCATTAACAAAGTAGTCACTTTCACTACAAAAGTTATAAATCACAATATGTATTTTGTAAAATTCATAATTAACTACATGTATAGTGAAATTTACCATTAACGTAATGGGATTTACCAAAAACCAGCAAGCATATCACAGCAGTTACGTTACGTAATTGCTTGCTGATTTCCGCTTCGGTTCACTCCCTCTCTCACTACAAATCCTCTTTCCCACAACCAAAATCAACAATCTCTACAGAATGGTGATGCGAAGGAGTAAGATAATAGCATTTCCAACATTCTTCTTTCCTTCTTCCCGCATTTCATCAGCGTTGGTCTTCCTCTCTCCTTTCTCTCACTGCGTCGGTCTTCCTCTCTCCTTTCTCTCACTTTTAGCTTTCGGTCTTCCCGCATTCATCAGGGCGTTTTGGTCTTTTGGCCGAAAATATTAATTCCAGATTGGTTTCCAGTGACCTCCTTGTCATTTTGCTTATTCAGGTCCCTTATTTGTCCTTTTAGAATTCAAGTGGTATTTTATTGTCATTTTCCCATTATGTTATGTCTAGATGTTCTGTTTGTCCTACATTGGTCTAGTGTTTCCCCCTCTACTAGGAGTATTTAACTGGTATTGTACTTAATAACTCACATGAATCATAAACAGGCATACCATTTTTATACTTCAGTTACAAGGGTTCTACACAAGAAAAAAAGACTTGATAAAGGTGGAAATCATTTTTGCATTGTTTACATAATCGCACAAAAATTTGAAATTCCTATTTTACATTCAAGTCATATGTCTAAAATGATCCAAGTGTCATATGTCTAAAATGATCCAAGTTAAACCACAATTGAAGGTCTCGCTCTTCAATACTTTCTCTCAGTCGAATAAAAAGACTCACTTTTATGTCTTGTGCATCCAGTTTAAAAAGATTTGGCATTTCCTTGACTCACTCTAGATCTAAGTTCATCTTATTGGTCTAGCTGGTTTCATGCACGTAGGAAACCATGTATATAAGAGCATTTTAAATCTCATGAACATGAATCCCTAAAATAATTTTACTTGAAGTAAGGAGAGAGAAATACAGAACGGTGAGTCCCACAGATTAAAAGGGAGGCCTATTATTCTGTATCTATCTCTTTTCTCATTTTAGATATTCCATTCTATAATTTCATTCACTCTCACCAAATCCCCATTACATGTCACAGTAACACTGTTCTTAGACACCAATTTTGTTTCTTATAATATTTTGCAACAGGCACTGCGTGAGGTTGATGGCCTGAAATTTGTTATGTTAGAGGACAAAATGCCAGAATGGGACCACTACACTGAAGGCCATTCCATTTGTTTTTGGTTCCGAAACAAATTCCCAAACATGGCTCTATGTTTTGGGGGAGAAAGTGATATTGGACATCATGGAGAGCTTGTTCTAAATGGTACAGTCTATGTGAATGGTGAATTGCTGGAATCTATAATCGAAGACAGGGTTTATGGAAGAATAACATCTCAGCATACCTTGATGTTTGATTTGCAAAACCTTATTCATGAAGATAAACTAAGGGGAGTAGCTTTAGAGGATGAATGGAACAAGATGCAGATTTGCTGTACACTGCGTCACAGAAAAAATCAAACATGGGCAAAAGCTAATGGAATATATGTCTGCAAACAGAAATCTAGAATGGAGGATATTCGATTCATGAATCCTAACGAGGAAATCTCTCCCTAAGTTCTTCTTGGAAGGCTCTTTGACAAATGCCAAGGTTCCAGCTGAGCATAGAAGCAGGTGGCCAGGGACTTCAAAGACAGTGCCAACGGCTTCTCTCATGATGATAAATAAACGAAAGGTACAATGCTCTGGACGCTTATGTATAAACTTCATGAAGTACTAGTCTTGCACACAAGCATTACTGCCATTTCCTCACCTGTTCAAATTTCAAAGGCAAATTATGGTCCTAATCATTTTTCATGAGAGAACAGGGCTGGGGACACGGACCATGACAGAAAAAACAAGCATATGGATGCATATGCTGCAGCCTGCAGAGTCAAAATGGCGAGGAGACTGATTCTAACCGTGGCGTATAGATTTACAAATCTATATTCATTGTTGTGCGATTGTTGGATGATTAAATATACAGGCTTTGTTGGGAGAATCTTGGGATAAGCATGTGGATGTATTCATTTTCAACGCGTCCCTTATCTCCACCCCAATAACCCTCTTATATTTTAATAAGCCAAAATCTTTTTTGCTTTTTTGTGGGGTCCGATCTTAAACACTTGATCCATTAGTTAATACTCATGGTATTTAAAATAAGACCTAATTAACTAATTTAAATAGATTAAAAATATTAGTTAAATTAGTTAATATGATATATTTTTCTTAAAACACACTAAACATCTTTTTTAATTCCTTCTCTTGTACTTGATTATTGTTCAACAAATACTAAGAGGATTAATTTGGAAAAAAAAATAACAAACATATAAAATAAATTTTACAAATAGAACCACAATTAACTTTCGAACTATATCCTACTTTACATTAAGGATCAGAGGAATAATTATAAGTGATTATATACACACACACTTCGGGATGGGTCTCAATAAACTTGTGATATTTTACTGAAATACGCCTATTTGGTTTTGTTCTCCGCTCAGTCATCTCAACCGGTCGGAGCAAGAAAACAAGCTCCTTTTTTTTTTTTTTGGTCCCCCCCCCCCCAAAAAAAAGTGATCACTCCACAATTGCTCCGTTTTCATAGATTTTTTTCGTTACAATTTTTGTAGATTCTTTTACAAGAAAAAAAAAATACGAGTGATGCTACCCGAATATTATTACATGTGTTCAACTTCAACTGTGAAAAATTAGTTAACCAAAAAAAATATAATGCTTGTTGTACTCAAACTAGGCGCACTAACTCCGCATGACTAGTATAGACCATCTAAGACAAACATAATGAGAATTGCCACATATTCAACACCATAAATTGCCATATATGAAATCACGCATCACTTTAGCACAAGAAATTCTGATGCTCTGACGAGAGAAAATACGAGATATACAAACCACAGCTTTTCCAAGCAACAATCCAGATATTAAGTTATTTTGGAGCCCGATAGTATTCTATCTTCCTAGGTTAAAATAAATTGCAGAGCATACACTAATCAAAGAGTTGAGAAATGAGAGGGAAAGAGGGTATGAGGGCTGAGATCAATTCTTCATTGAAGAACATGATTACCGTCCACAGTGTATCAAGCTACCAGCACCAAGGAACAAACCAAATACAGCCGCACTTCCCAGAGTAGTCTGCCCAATATGTCTAATCTTTAGGAGGCCAGGAACCTGCATGGTTCAAGATCATATTCATATCTAAGCCATTTCAAAAGTAAGCCACACATTTCAGCAGAGCACCACTGCTAAACTGATAACCAAACAGAGGTTCAGAATTGCTGCCTAGATAAGCAGCAGATTGAAAGGCTCCCACTGGGTAATTACAGTGCAGCACTACATTCCGCTCAGCAAATAACATGACCCCCAGGTGATATCTTTGAAGCAATATATGGGACTGCCCCCCACTCCATTCACAGATCAGGTGATATCGTCAACGGAATATACTTTAATTTTATTGACTGAAAACAAGATGAGAATTGAAATCTCCGTTGTAATTAAATAGACTTCCAAACTTCAAAGATTTCTTGACGAAATCATAGATACACCATCTGAAACAAAACTACATTCTCCACACCAGGCCATATTAGTGTGCTATAGAAGAATGTTTGAAATCCTCTAACCAATGTTTGGAAAGAAAAAGGTGTTTAGCTTCTTCTTTTGGGGCAGGGGGTTTGTTTTAACAGGTTTCTGCCTATCGTTAAAAACTTCAAATACATGAGAGCTACAAATTCTCGTAAATATTGATCTTGGTAATTGGTGACATTGCTTTCCTCACAAAAGTCAAGAGAGTTACATCTTTTTTGGTTACATCAAAAGGACTTACGCTTCCTCTACCCACAACCCACCCCAAACTTACCATCACATGGTTCCAGTCTTTTGTGATGTGGATGCTTGAATCGCTTTGAAGTTAGAATCCTCATCTTTTAAGTTTTTCCCCCCCTGTTGTAGGCATCTGTTCTGAAATTTAACCACATAAGAATTAAGAAATACTGAGAGAGTGTTTTAATTAGGCCGAATACCTAGACGTAGGCTGAATGATTTAAGTTGCTTTCCCAGGTTTCCAGTGCTGCCACCAGTACAAGCATACAGCAGTCCTAGGTTTAATAGACATTAGGGCAAATTTATAGGGCGATGGTAAGGATTTGTGAGATTAAGATTTTGTTTTAACTCGACTACTTGAGTAAGCTGGTATGAATAGGGAATTCAATAGGCAGAAAGCAAAATAGATAGGTAAAAGGCCAGACTTCAGACGAAGGGCTCTTGGCATCATAACCACTTTTCCTGCAGAAAGCCAGAAATATATTCTTGACTTGCACCTTTTGAAGTTTAAAGACACCTAGTAAGATCCTTATTCTGCTTTGGTTGGCCATGTCAGGAGATACTTGGCAGCAACTGGATTGAAAAGAACTGATTTTTCAGTGATTTTGCTTTTGAAATAAAAAATTACCAAATCGTATTCTCTGGTACGCCAAACAAAATAACTATACGTTTTCTCAGATTTCATCAAGTCCTTGCTTTCTTTATCGCTCATTTTATGAAAGTATTGTGGCATTTGAACAAGGAAAAGAATAAGCCTAATGGATATCTGCATTACTTAAAATGCGACCTGTCACCTTGTAGCTTGAACACATACAGATACGAATGAATGGCACAGTCAAACAACACATCACAAATTCTGATTGCCATTAACACTTCAAATAAACCGATAACGAATGATGAAAAATAAACCAACAAAAAATATGAATAAATACATACCTTATACCTAACAGCCTCATATGTTCCATAGACGGCACCTACAAACACATGGTTCAATAAATTACACTGCAGAAAAAGAAGGAAAGAAAGAAACTACTCTAATAACAAAGATAGTTTATTACAGAATAAAGAAACCTAAAGCATTATTTATTATCTATGATACTTAATTTAACCTAATGACCAAAAGTCTGGCTTCGATAACAGAACGCAATAAGAAAGGCGACTCTTTTTCTTCAGGATACTCAACAACCAAACAAGGCAAAAGGGCCTTCCAATCAGAGATATGTCTAAAAACTCAAGGAAGAGACTCACCAACGGCGCCGCCGATAGCACCGCCAAGGGCGGCTCCGGTGGTGACGCGAGTGAGGCAGCTGTCTCTAGCCATTTGATGATCTGAATGCAGAATACTTTTGCGTCAGGCTGCGATTTCCAGACTTTTATTTGGCGTCACAAAGCGACATGTCGTATAGCCCAACTTCATGAACGAATCTTAGGCTGTGACCTACAGGGTGTTTAGCAGCCTCTAACCCATGATTTTAGAAACACTTTTCTGTAAAACAAGATAAATTTTTCTATATATTTACTTCGTAAACTATAAAAGTACTTCTGAAATCATGGTTTAGTTTCTATCCAAACATCTCCTTACTAAGAATCCGTTGGCCCAAAAAGGGGGAAAGGATTAACCCCTTGGATTGAAAGAAAATTAGAAGGGAGAAAAAACTAGAGAAAAAAATATGAAAAAAGACAAGATTTTTCTTATTTGGATAGGAAAGAAAACATGAAAAAAAGAAAAAGTGGAGGAGAACATCCTTTTTTTTCCTTCAAATTTTCTCTTTATATGTAGAGAGATTTGGGAAAGAAAACAAGATTTCTATGACTTTTTATTTTTTATTTTAATTTGGTTTTAAAACATAATAATCTGAAAATGTATATAAACCAAATAACTTGATTTTAAATTATTTGATGATACTGATATTAGTATAATTTTTTTATTGCAATGTTTAATTTAATTTAATTTTAAATATGATATATCTTGATAAGGACATTTTAGTTATTTAGATATTTGCTAATTTTCTTTCTTTTTTATTTTCTCTCATCCATCTAAGTAAGAAGGATCATAACAATTTCTGTCTACTTTTTTTCTTTTCTTTATTTTCTCTCGTCCTATTTTCTTTCCTCTCAACTTTTCTTCCTATTGCTATGATCTTATCTAAAGTGAATTATTTTGCCTTCTACTAAACAACTACAAAGTGAATTAATTAAGTATATAGATTAATAAACACAACTTTTAGTATCTTAAAATATGACTTCTTTTGATCCCTATAATTCAAAACTAGTAATTTTAGTCTCTAAAATATAATTTAATTTTGATCTGCCTAAATATTTTTAACCCTAAAACAAAAATTATATCAAATTTAAAGAATTAAAATCAAAATCAAATAAATTTCACAAACTAAAAAAAATCATCTCCTCTATCCTTTACTTCCCTTATCCCTCCTATAACATCATGATTATAGTGAAAGAAGTGGGGAAAAAAAAGTTAATGTTCTACAATTGTAAACTATTCAAATCAAGTTTTAACATTTTAAATTTATTTATCTATTTTTATGTAAAATTAATGTACATATATATTCTCGTTTTTTTTTTGGATAGCTTAAACAAACATAAACCGCAACCTTAGTCAATTAAAAAAGAGAAAATTTCATCAACCAAATCATCACATTATACCTCAAACGAGTAAGTGAAAAACATTGTACGGTCACAGAACTTAAAAATGTTTTTTTTTCTTTTTAATTTCTATGCACACACTTAAAAATATATTTTTTTCCTTTTTAATTTCTATGCGCACACGTATCTTTCTCCCTTTTTCCTCCTTTTATTTCAATAAAACTTTTATTCAAAAATAAATTAAGTGCAAAACTTCAAATCATCTCTTTTTTCAGACATAGCTCTCCTATTGAAAACAACCTTATTTAAAATATTATTGATACTACTTCTGGTTTTTAAGAGTTTGTTTGACTTTCAATTTGGTTCTAAATATAAAACTCAAGTTTACTTTATTTTTTGTATTTATCTTTTTTTTTTTAAAGTACTCCTTGTTTGTATATATTAAAGGTTCTATTATATAATAGTTCTAACGAATACATATAATTAGTAAGGGTATTCTGAGAAAAATAATACCTATTTATTACAAATAAATAATTTAACTAATTTTTTAATATTTTTAAATTAATTAATTAGTTGTTATAGTAAAAATTTAAGAAATATGCACAAAAATTTGGATGCAAAGGGGTAAGAAGCCTAAATTGTTTTCTAATAAATTTAATATTCATTTTACCCAAAACAAAAAAGACAATATTGACTCTCCAAAATTACAAAGTTCAAACATTAAAAAGGCACGTTAAATCGTTAAATAATAATCAATCCAACCCCCTGATTGGATAGGTGAATTCTGTCCTGCGCATAAAACCTGCAGTTTTAATCTGTTGGCATCAGAAATCGGAGTTGGACTTTCCGTATTCTTCAGCTATTTCTGTGGGTGCGGCTCGAAGATGCACGACTTTCCATCACCGTCAGATTTTGTTCCTTAATCAAGTCAATTTCGTAGGTGCTGGTTGCTCCAGGCTCTGCAATGGACGATTCCTTCTCGGACGACAAGCTTTGTGGCTTCCTATTTGCGGTTCTCGCAGTCACTCCTTCGCAACCCGACCCGTGTGCCAGTTTGTCCTTCAAACAGCACTGCGACATATTTGGCGACGGTTCTAATGCCGTCGGATTTAGGTCCGAGAACGGGGTCGTTTTAGTTCCGGTGGATTCGGCGGCGGAGCAGGATGATGGCGGGAACGCGTCTCCGTCTGATTCAGCGCAGTGCGAAGTGGTGGGGAAGGAATCTAGGATTGATTACGAATATAATGGTCTTATTGCGCCTCGGAGTTCGCGAAAGAAGGGCAATGCAAGAAGGAAAAATTGGGAGGTGTCTGGGAGTAATAGCTTGAGGAGGAAGAGGATGACGAAGATTGGGATGGTGAATGGGAGTGTTAGTGTGATTCACCAGCTTCACGCTTTGGTTAGCAAGAGGTGTTTAAAGATTGATGCTCGAGTGGTTTTGGTTGACCTTGGGGACTGTGGAGAGGCTAGAGCAGTGGTACTGGTCGATGTGTATCTTCCGATTGCATTGTGGAGTGGCTGGCAGTTTCCGAGATCCGGGTCCACTGCTGGCGCTCTTTTTCGGCATTTGAGGTTTGCGTTTATCATTTAAATCTACATGTTATCCAAAAAAGGAATTCCTTTTCTATGGTAATTTAGATTTAGATGTGGAGCTCGCAATTGGATATGGTTTTACCTCTTAAGCCAGTTATTGGTATTACAATAATGTGTGTTAACTTGAGTTGAATAGTATAATGGCAATGATACGTCCGTGTTTGGAGAAAATAGGTTCAGAAATTATGTCGAACTAATAATGTATATAAAGTTATGGTTTTGGCGTGTGTGTGTGTGTATTTGCTAGGCATAGGGGTCCTCCTATTGGAGGCAACCTGTCGGAGGCACCGCTGCATTATCTGATTTTTATGATCAATGCTTAAAAACTCAACATTGATCATGTATTGTATGCGTTAAAATGGTCACATGTTGGATTTTGGCTGCCTGCGGAGGGATGATTTGACGATTATATTGACATAATGCTATTCTGTGTAATTATGAAAGTTTTAATATATTTACCAAGTATATCTTTGACTTTCACTTGAAAATTTATGTGGTTTGTGTGTGCGATCAGCATGCTGCCTACATACATAAATCTTTGAAGGGATGTAAAAATATTGAAATGAAAAATGAAAAATATGTGTGATACATCAATGGAATCTGCAATCTTAGTCGACTTCCAACTCTGACTTAACTAATCATTTTATCAAAATGAAAGCCATCTCTAGAATGGTCGTATGTTGTATCAGACTAGTCACTATCAGTAAATAGGACCTTGTAATATAAAGCAACTGATTAAGCCCCTCCCCTTTCTCATTGTTCTGTTCAACTCATAAACCTGACTGTCTTAGTTTGCTGACATAAATGCTTTCCACAGATGTGACTGGGATGAGAGAAGATCGATTCTTTCTTGCTCCGACTATATTAGGAAGATTCAGGGGGCTAATGAGAGCATTTGGAGCCTCTGTGACTGTCATGTATTTGGGTGCAAACTTCACTACCATGCGAAAGATTCTTCAAAGAATAGTCTATTTGAGCTCCATGAAATTTTTAAGAGTATACCTGGTGTAGGAAAAGAGCGGAAGCTAGATAATTCCAGGATAGTACCCTTGAATGACTCTTGGAGATCTGGAATTTGGGAGTTGTCTGATGACATTTTAACAAAAATTCTAGCTCCCCTTGGCCCGATGGACATTGCCAGGGTTTCTGCAACTTGTCGTCATTTGAGATCCTTGGCTGCTTCAATAATGCCTTATACAAAGTTAAAACTCTTTCCTCACCAGCAGACAGCTGTTGAGTGGATGTTGCATCGGGAGCGAAATGCTGAATGCTTGGAACATCCTTTGTATGTTTCTTTTTCAACAGAGGATGGATTTGTTTTCCATATAAATACTGTATCTGGTGAAATAGTCATTGGGGAAGCTCCCACCATTAAAGATTTTGTGGTGGAATGTTCTGTGATGAGCCTGGTTTGGGTAAGACTGTAACAGCTCTTTCTCTTATACTGAAGACACAAGGTACGTTGGCAGAACCACCTGCTGGAGCAAATGTGGTTTGGTGTCACCATAATGGTAATCTTAAATGTGGTTATTATGATATTGTTGGTAGTTACATAATTGACAATACTATTTGGGGAAGAGGGACATATGCCAGGATGCTAGGAATAATGAGCATCATGATTACTCCTCCAAAAGAGCTAGATTGAAGGCTCCTGCTGAGAAAACCATTGGACTTAATGATAAATGTTCTGGGGAAGGAAAAAAAATCACCTGCAGGCGAATTCTCTGAGCAGCCAATAGCTGCAAGTCGATGCTTTGGGCTTGAGTTGCATAAAGAAAAATCTATGTGCCACTTTTGAAGAGGAAGTTGGGCATTCCAAAGAAAGAAAAGATAGTGTAAACCCTTTGAAACTGGAACATGCTTCAAATGCTGAAACACATGTATCTGAAAATAAGCCAGTTGGCACTTCGTATGGACATGATAAGGGTTGCAAGGGACCTGACAAGCCTGTAACAGATTCTTTTGAGTACAGGGACACATGGATTCAGTGTGATGCTTGCCAGAAGTGGCGAAAGCTTGCAGATGCCAATATGGCTAATACTAATGCAGCGTGGTTCTGTAGTATGAACACTGATCCTTTGTATCAGAGTTGTAGCATCCCAGAACAACCCTGGCATAATGCCTGTGAAATAACTTATTTACCAGGATTTCATGTAAAAGGTAGTGCGGGGGG